ACCGCCGTCCCCGCCATCGACATGCTAAGGTATAAAACTCTTAACTCAAAAAATCCTATTCTCGTGGCTTGCGACGAACCGGCAAACCTCCTACGCGCTCACATAGCGTAGTAGGGAGGGAAACCGGCTTGGCGCTTGCGACGACCTAAAAAAAAATTCTACTCTCGAAGCTAGCGACGAGCTAGCAAACCCCCTATTTGCTCATGTAGCGTAGTGGGGAGGGAAACCGGTGTGACGCTCGCAATGAGGCTGGTAATCCCCGGAGTGCTCATGTAGCACAAGGGGGACGAAAATTAAGTACCTCCAAACGCTCACGTAGTGCAGAGGGGGGAAAGAAATTGTGCTCTTTTAAAACAAGTAACCAAAAACCCTTAAACGCTCATGTAGCGGGCGGGCATTTAAAAAAAAATGCAACCTCGGTGTCATTTGACACCTACCTGAAGCGCTCAAGTAGCGATGAGGGGAAGGTTGCCTTTTGATTTTTCCCTTAAACGGGGGAGACGTAGGGAGGCTACCGAAATTTTCATTGAAACACCGGAGTTGGTTAGAATTTGGACAAACTAAAACAGAGGACTCGGACATGTATTTGGACAAAAAATGAACTATAAAATATTTGAACCTAAGTACAATGAAATTGAATACGAACTTGGACTTGCAAAAGATAACTACGAGGACTCAAACTTGAACTCAAGCAAAGACTTGAGTTGGACCACTAGGAACTCGTACAATGGAGGATGACAGATGAACTTGAATGACATGAGCTTAAATTTGAAGTATGCATTTGTGGACATTGAACTCAAAATATACAATCTTAACTAGAACTTGAATTTGAACTCGAATTGAACACCCACTTAAACTTGAATAAATAAATATAAGTGATTGAGTTCATAATTGATAAATGACAATCATCAATAAGATGCAAATGAATACATATAAAATTTGTAAGCCAAGGGATTTTGCAAGTGTCATTCACTTAATGATAATGACGACGCCATTTGATTTTCAATATAATCTTCATGCAAATGACAATGGTTGGATCGTAGCATTAATCCTAATTCATACAATTGGTAGATGATAATTTTGATCATCTAACTAAATATCAATGAATGAGCAAGGGTCTACAAAGGAGGTCCAAGAGCCTACAACAAACAAAGATTCTTATGAATGCATGCAAAATACATGTAGTGAAAGAGATAGTTGGCTTACAAGCATGAATGATGTGCAAGTGAATATATTAGCTTGCAAGCAACAATGGTGGATAGATTGTGAATGCAATAATTTCCCTTCAATCAACATCAATGAGCCAATAGGAAATTTCTTTCATCCACTAGCAGCTTATCAGTGACTTGATTCGTCAAAGTGTACCTAAGAAGTTATTCATAAGTATACATCATGCCACATACAACGAGTATTATGACTATTCTCCAATCAATGACCAATAACTCGTAGATGAATACAGTAGTTATCTATGAACGCTGAAAGTCAACATCCAATGAACCTATTGAAATGGCTTGCGAGCAATAATGCAAGGCTTCCAATAAATATTAAAGGGTACTATTGCCAGTAGAAATGCAAACAATGAGCGAGGATAATCAATAAATATATGTGATCCACTTGCAAATAGATGCATGAGAATATATTAGAGAGTGCTACAAATCATACACTGATGATGGAAGCACCCATATCAATCTTGCAAGAAGATGTAGTAGTCCCCGCAAATGCACATCATGTAGTAAATAGCAAGTGCTAGCATCAGCTAATAATGATAGATAATTTACCATATACACAATAAGCTTACGAATGCTAATCAGTAATAGGCAATGGATGTTACGATATCCTTACAGTAAAGGTGCATGTGGTGGTCAGCAAATATACTAGTCATCTACAGGCTTAAGCGTGATGATATATGGCAAAAAAAAATCTAAGCTCATATGAGCTGTTGTAGGAAACCTGTTATGCCATTCATAGACAAATGCAGAAGAGTTCCATCAGATGCAAGCTCCTATAAGTCGTGGTTCATCCACAAAATTCAAATATTTTCAAATGGAAATGACCTCAAATATCCCGATGATGGCCGTGTTGAATAAAAATTTCAACCAGAGGGGTCCACAAGCATTTTCAAATGATTTCTCAAAATATCAAAATCCAAATATCCAAAAATCTCAAATCAAAATATTTAAAATTGAAATAAATCCATCAACACTTAAAGTAAAATTCATCCACCCTCCGCAACAGTTTGCCGGGGTGGACAAATTAGAAAACTACTTCAGCTCAATAGAGCTGATTCCTAGTCGAAAATATTACTAGGATTCATTATCAAACAATCTTCTGCCAGTAATGATGTGGTACGTGTCCTCTGACTAGCGGTTTTGCCACCAAATGGCACCGCAAGATAAATGGTTATGACCCGGGGCCCTCTGAACTGAGTGGTTTTGCCTCCAAATGGCACCACGAAATACCTGTTATGGCCAGAGTCAATATGTTCCTTAATGACATCAAATTCTTGAGATATGAATCAATAGGATATGATTAATAGGGAGTAAAGCCCCCTATTAGCTAAAGTGGATTCAAATTTGTCCCCTTAGACAAACATTCACCCCAGGTCTACAAGGTCCTCTTAGACGAAGTAACCCATGGCTACCGATAAGGATCCTTCTGTTAGGTTGGGTGGACTACCTCCTCTGACTAAGTAGACCAGGGAACACGATGGCCTGGGACGATGGAAGCTTGGGATCTTGATTGGGTCTATCATCCATTCCCCCACTATCAGCTTTAAGTGCAAGATGGTAAAATTTCTATTTTTAAATATCTCAACCCAAATTCCAAACATCCAAACTTTCAAATATTCAAACCCATGCTGCTACTATATGCCAAATAACACATATCTCTATGTATCTGATTGACGACTAGCCTTAATCGAATGTTCTCGCTCGTGATCGGGAGAGGTAATTAGCTATAGGGGCTTGCGCCTATAGGAAACCAGAACTCAGATCATAAAGTCCTCGCAAATTGAGGGTGAAATCTCTAGGTAGTGTCTTATATACAAACCCATCTGCCTTCCAAAATTTATCCCGGAACTTATTCCGTTAAAACTCCCTCACCAAAAAAAAGTAACAGTTGGGCGGATGCCAGAACCGAATTTTCGGAATCCACATCTGGACAATTGACCCAAGATATCTAAACCGGGTGCTATTATTAATGACTTGATCACCCAAAGTCACAATCCTCTCTAGATCTATTATTACTAAAATTATACTCTATATTCAATTTTAAATGACTTGACCACCTTGTGTTTGAACACAAGTAATAGCTCCTGCATCCATATCCTTAATGGCTTGAATATAAGTATTATTAACCTCTTTCTTATGTAGAACTCTCCATAGCACTTCTCTTAGAACTTCATCATATGCTTTCTCTAAATCAATATGTAGATCCTCTTTATTCTCTTTATACTTCTCCATCAAACCTCTCAATAAATGTAGCTTCCATAGTAGACCTACCTGGCATGAATCCAAATTGATTTTGAGAAACATTAGTATCACGCCGCAACCTATGCTTCATAACTCTCTCCCATAGTTTTAAAGTATGACACATTAACTTAATTCCGCTATAATTATTACAATCTTGTGCATCATCTTTGTTGCGGGCTAGAATATACGTGGCGGTAGAGTTTACAAATTCACGTCTGAACGTTGCACGAATATTCAGCACACAAACAGAAAAGAAAATGAACACCAGGATTTTTATGTGGAAAACCCGAAAGAGGGAAAAAACCACGGGGCCACGCCCAGTTGAAAAGTTATACTAGTGTTTTGTAAATTACAAGAAGCTGATTCGTCCCACAAGTCAGGACGATCAGATTACAACCCATTTCTTCTAACTTGAAGCAAATTTACAAAGTTCTACAGACTTCAGGCGTCTCCTGAAAATCCGGCAGAGTTCCGGCATATTCAGGCGGCGGAAAGAACTCCGGCAGTGGTTGAGGAGGAGATGATTCTCCCTTTCCCCTTTTTCTCTTCTCTTCTTCTCTCTCTTCTCACTTGAGTCCTCTTGTGAAGAATGAGGGCTATAGTTTTTTCTGGAGTGATATGGCTTGTAAATAGGTGTGAGATCAGGGGTGAATAGGGAGTGGTCGAATGGACGGTTGATATTGAACCCTTCGATCATGCACCGTTTGTTGGACATTTGAAGGCCTTAGTGATGTCGGATTTCGGCGATCTTGGGCTCGTTGGATTCGTCTCGTCGAGCCGTTCGATTCGAATATAAGCTTGTTAAAATCGGAGATTGTTTGGTAACTCAAATTGTGGTACGAGCTTTCCTACAACACTTCGGGCGCTTGATTTGGGCTCATTTGGACTCGGATTGGGTTGAATTTGGTGTTGTTTGGTTCGTATTCCAAGACGCTCAGTTTGACTGTAAGCTTACTGAAATCGGAGTTTGGGTGCTCCCGAATTTAATATTTGAAGTTCCCGGGTTGGGTTTTGCCTCGAGATTCGTGCCCGATGAAGATAATTTTTTGAGAATATATCAACCTTTATTCTTAAAAATAGGAATCAACACACTCATTCTCCACTCATCTGGCATCTTTTTAGTTTTCAAAATAATATTAAATTTTTTAGTAAGCCAAGAAATTCCTTGATCTCCTAAGCATTTCCACACCTCTATTGCAATATATAGCTTTGCTGAGACTCTTTCAGTTTTCTTGTCTCATCACTCTGGTAATCTGGTTGATGATTTTTTTCCTGCAAAAATGCTCACCTAAGTGGTTCGTCCTCCTCGTTTCTATGATGTTAGCTTATGAAATGATCATGGTTGCAACTTTTTTCCTAACAGTTGTAAGCTGCTGGAAGTTTGAAAACTTTTCTAAAATCATTTTTTCCCTTTCTAAATCTTGGCTTCTTTATTTTCCATAAGTAAATTTGCTATGTGAGGTCCAGTTATGTATGATAATTAAGCATTTTGATATATATGTACATTTACATATTTTTTGGTTTCAACAGATCAGTGCTGATGACATAACCATCCTAGATCAAATATGTGCTGCTCTGACATTGCTTGCAAATCCAAGTCATAAAGATGATGGAGCTTTCAATAAAGATAAAGAACTATCTTTAAAAGTTAGCAAAGTTAGTGAAAGTATAGTGAATGAGAGAAATGGTTCTATTAAAAGGCCAGCCGTCCTGATATTGGGTGCTGGTCGTGTTTGCCAACCAGCTGCTGAACTTTTGGCATCAGCTGGGGATCTATATTCCAATTCCCTTAAAATATTTGAGGGTGTTGATGCTCAAGAATGTGAGGAATTCGAAGTTATTGTAGCATCTCTTTACCAAAAGGATGCAGAAGAGGTATGATTTGTTTATGCTGTATTCAATTTTTAGAGGTTTAACATTGATTGAGATCCTTTGAAAGTATTTTATTATGAGCAATTATTATTACCCCACTTTAAACTTTTTAAAACCTTCCTCCTTGCAATATCAGAAATAGTGATCTAACTTAGGAAACAAGACCATACACTTGCATATTATTCTACATGTTTGCAGCCAATGCTTTGGGTGGTTGTCACAAACTAGTTTCTTCTTACCACCAAGGTTTCGTTTGGGATGGATTTCTTACTACTTCTTAAAGTAGTTTTTTAATACAAAAATTTTAATTTTTTACTTAAAAGTTGATTTAAGAAACAGTAAGAAAGTCTTCCCAATTGAAGCCTAAGCAACATTAAAGGTTGATGCAGTTATGATGATGAATTTAATTTTGCTTTTTTTGCATAGAGTTTATAATTTGTGTTACTGCAATTGATGAAGAAAACTAGTTTATATGGGAGATTTGTACAATATCAAAAGCAAGAGCTTCTAAGTTTGTCCTTTAATTAGTTCATTCTTATAGGAATTTTTAAAGATCAATTCTATGATTGGGCAAATCATGTTTTGTTCCATTGTCAACAAAAAAAATTAAGCTTCCATGACAGATCAAAACTTTTGGATTTTTGATTGAGTTCAGATGCAACCTGCATGATAAGATATTAAAAGTTCAGAATTTTACTTTGTTATCACTCACTTTCTCTTGATCCTAATTTCGTTCTGTCTTCTTCTCTTTTGAAAACTATTGCAAAGTTTTCTAAATGGTTCGAGCTGTGATTTAAGGTTATTTTAATGCATGCAGTTTGCAAGAATCCGTGCTCAAAATGTTGTAAATAGTCCATTATCAGTATTTCTCATTTCATCAACACTACTGCTTCTATCTTTTTTTTACTCTTGATTTGAACAGTCTCTTTTACATGTTTCATGAAAAGCTACCTTAAAATAGGCACAGTTATCTCTTTATATATAATTTGATAATCCATTGACACAAATCACTGAAAACAAATTACTTTTGCACTTTTTTGGTTATATTCATTATTCAATTTTTCTTAACTTTTGTACTTGTGTAGACAATTGAAGGCATAATGAATGCAAGAGCTGTCCAGCTTGATGTAATGAACGAGGAAAGCCTTTCTTTGTGTATATCCCAGGTAATCTTTTCCCAGTACCTTTTGAGCATGCATGTTTTCAGAGTTATTTTTTGCTCTTGCACTCATATATTATACTAACTCTTGTACCCTTTCAAACATTCTCCAGCAATAGTTAACATTCTTAATTCGATTTAACATTTCAGAATCTACTTCGAGCTGCATCTTCCATTTAAAAAAGAACAAAAAAATTTAAGAGGATATTTTTTTGTATAAAGTACCGCTAACTCCCTAAAGTTTGCATATAGAATCACTTGGGACATTAGATAAAATGATTCAAGTTGATGCAAAGCTTCTTTTTCTCTGAAAAAATACAAGCTTTTCTGTATTTTTTTCATCTTTCATGCATTAAATGTAAAACATGTCCATATCTTATCAGTTGCGTGAATATAGAAGGATAGCTATCTCTTTAAAGTTGTGCAAAATTTAAAAAAAAAAATCTGAGGCACCAAGAAAGATCCTGAATTTTCAAAATGCATAATTGTTTTATACTACCCAAATATTGTTTTGAGTGCACCCTATAAGAACCTAATGCTTCGTTTGGGACGGCTTTTTAATTGCTTCTTAAAACAGAATTTTAATACAAAAAAATAAAATTTTTTAGTTTTAAGAAGCAATAAAAAAAACAGTCCCAAAGGAAGCCTAAGTTAGTACCTTTGCTACTCTTTAATTCCTTATTGCCTTGTCATGCGGAATATTGTTCCATTTGAAGATATAAAAACTGATATGCTTGCAAGCAGCATCAATTATCTATTATGAACAATTTACCACATACAGGTTGAGGTCGTGCTTAGCCTATTGCCTGCCAGTTTCCATGGCATCATAGCAAAGTCCTGCATAGAGGTACTTCATGAACAACCTCATTAAGTGTCTATCTCACCAATCTGAAATTTGTTTTTACTGATTGTTGATATGGAAATTTACTTCCATTTTCCTTTTCCAGTTTAAGATCAAGTTGTGTGTACATCATGTTCTAGTGATTTTTTGAAGTACTCTACAAATTTTTTATTGAATATATGTTTGCATTAGTTAGTAGTCTTTGCATGTTTGTGCTGAGATCACAATTGCTCTCTTATTCAACCCTTTTTAAAGTAACTGTAACTTGAATGGAAATGGTCTCCATCATATCCGCAGTGAAGTACATCTTATGGATGTTTTGTTACTTGTTATCATGCCATTTGTTCTCCATCTTAGTAACTTTTTTAATTCACTCTTTTTGTTGGATTAAAAAATACATTATCTTTGGATAGTTTTGTTAATATATAGTCATGCTACTGTTATGTCCTTCAAATAAAGGATATAATTATGCTGTCTTGTCTATATCCTCGTCATAATTTTATCTGTTAGTTATAAGGTTTAGAAAAAAAGGGGATTAGATCTTGCATCTATTTCACAAGATTTACCTACGCCTCATGACTAAACTTCAACAGCACTCAACCAAAACGAATAGAGAATGCGAATTTATAAGGATGACTCCAAATAGTTGGGATAAAGTTAATGATGATGATTATATGAGACATCGGCCAAGAAAAAATATGGAAGATATTGTATTTTCTTGTTTACCTCCACACATCCACCAAATCAGCGTGAGCGAAGGTGACGATCGACGAGCGCGATCATCGACAAGTGTGACACTCCACTAAACTTCCAAACAAACCTCTGATTGCCAAGCGGATCATGCCGATTCAAGCAGAGCATCAAATTTATCCATGGGAGGACTCCTCACAGTTGAATTGAACAAAGGTGGTCGAAATCAGCAAATTATGCGCGCGACGTTGCCCGATTGATGTCCATTTGCAAAACGACTTCGTTGTTACATCCGAAACGTCGAAAATACCCAAGAATGACTGCCATATTGTATGGGTTATTCGAGAGAGCATAGATGCAAAATGCGCGTGGATTTCGAGGCAAATCTTGCTCAAACCTTTTGCAATTTGGCTGCCCCTTCCTATTTCATGTTGGAAATCCTGCTGAAATCACGTAGTCCTACAAATCGGTGCCAAATTTAGTCGTCCATCCTCGCGTGCACAGTTCCTCTCCATTTCACGCACATAGCCCGCTCATTTTCTCCATTTTTCACCCTCACTGCTCTCCTGCTCTCGCTCTCTTCCTCTTGTCTCTATTTAACTCATGTAGCAACCAATCACACAAGAACGGCAGCTACTCGACCTCCCTCGTCTCTCTACTCTCTACCCTCGAACCACACCCCATACGAACTACTCCGGTTCAACCTTCCCAACCTCTTCTATTTCACAAACATCTGACCGACCTGCTACATGTTATGATATATGAAATAAATCTATATTAGTCTTTCTTGAATGTAGTAGACACATGTCCACACTCTATTGGTTTCACCTACTATTGTTTATCTATTAAATACCCATTATGTAACTCAGTATGGTAATAAATTAGTTTTCCTCTGTCTCGGTCTTTCTCCTCTCTGCAGCTTTTCCTGCTTCTGTTCTTGTTGTGCTTTCATGGTATCAGAGCGGGCGGCCTAGAGCTTTAGTTCGCATTCCTCTTCTAGTTCTTCGTCTCGTCAGCCATGGAGGTGCTGGTCGTTTCTTCAGCCACCGGAGCTCAGGAAGAAACTCAAGAAACTGCTACTTCGTCTTACCCTCTCATCCCACCTCAACTCAAATTCCTCATAGGTAACATCAAATGTATCATCTCCCTCCCTCTCACAGCTGAAAATTACCCAATGTGGTGATCCCAAGTCTTCAAAATCTTTAGAGCAAATGGGTTCGATGGGTTTCTTAACGGCTCTTGCTGTTGCCCCTCTTCCAACAATTCTTCTTCCTCATCTTCCCTTTCATTTCAATCTTGGACTCTTCTTGATCATAATCTAGCTGCGACGTTATATTCTGTTATCTCCCCTAACATTCTTCCATACATCCTCTCTCTCGATCGTTTGCTGTGAGGGACACCTTAGCTCACCGTCTCTACTCCTCATCCAGATCTCAAACGATCCAACTACGAAATGAGCTAAACTATCTATCCATGAAAAATCTAAATATGTCTCAATATCTGCTAGCAGTTAAAACTAAAGTTGACGCCATAGCTGCTATAGGTTCTCCTCTCAATCCGGAAGAAGTCATTTTCTATACCTTAAACGATCTCCCAAATCAATACCAAGCTTTCAAAACCGCCATCCGCACAAATCTGCAACCCCTCAGTATCGATGCCCTCTACACTCTTCTTTGCAGCGAGGAACAAAATGTTGCCCAAGAAGCAACGAAAGATCTCCAAAATCTCCAGATTTTTTATTCTTCAGTCACTCTGTTCGTGCCCCGTGGTCGTGGTAGAGACCAGAACAATCCTAATTGTGGGGACCATCCTACTCAAATCGATCTTCGCGTCCCAACTCTCGCCATCCCAACAAGAACAATGCAACGAATCCTATTACTTGCCAAATCTGCTCGAAATTCGGTAATTCGGCATTAAAATGTTGGTACCGGCTTGACACCTCCTATACCAAGGAAACCCAATCACAGAAAATAGCTCTCTTCTCTCCTTCGGATTCCAACAACACCGCTGATTGGTATCTTGTCAGCGGCGCCTCTACTCAGCTTACATTTGATCTCTCCAACATCCATTCCGTCAAACCGTACGCCGGCCAACACTAAGTCACTCTAGGTAATGGGTATTAAGTTCCCATTCAACATTCAGGTAAAGGCGTCCTGCCTACTCCGCAAGGTAACCTAAATCTTTACAATCTTTATCACATTCCGAATCTATTCTTTAATCTTGTCTCTATTCATCGACTAACTTCAGACAACAACTGTATTGTCAAATTTTTTCCTCACAAATTCCATATACAGGACTCAACGACGGGTCTTCTTTTACTCAAGGGACCTTGCCTTAACGGTCTATATCCCATCCGATCTTCTACTCCACATCAACACCTTTCTCTCCTATCAGCTCAAGCCGTGCCTCAACTATGGCATAAGCACATAATTCACACTGTAACTCTTGCCAATTGGCTAAAAGTCATCGGTTACCATTTAATAGATCTTGTAATTCTAGTCTTTCCTTTTTTGAACTGATTCACTCAGACGTCTGGGGTCCATCCCCTATTTTTTCTACAAATGGATTTAAATAATACGTCTCGTTTATTGATGACTTCTCCAAATACTGTTGGGTGTATCCTATAGTTCAAAAATCTGAGGTGATCTATAAATTCATTGAATGTACTAAAATGATCAATTGCCAATTTAACACCAACATTAAAATGCTCCGATCCGACGGTGGAGGCGAATTCATCAATAGCCAATTTCAAATATTCTGCAAACAACAAGGAATAATTCACCTATATATTTGCCCATATACTCCACCTCAAAATGGAGCAGCCGAACGGAAACATAGGCATATTCTAGAAATGATTCGCAGTCTTCTTATCGAAGTCAATCTCCCTCAATCATTATGGGATGACGCTCTTCACACATCCGTGTATCTCATTAATAGACTACCCATCCAATCTCTTCACAATCATAGCCAATACTACATGTTATTTCAAAAACTGCCCTCTTACAATCATCTAAAAATCTTCGGTTGCCTTTGTTATCCCTGGCTCAAACCATACTCCACAAGCAAACTCTCCCCTATGTCCACGCCGTGCATCTTTATAGGTTACGCTTCTTTCCAAAAAGGCTATCACTGTCTTAATCCTAAAATGGGACAAATCTACACATCTCAGCGCGTTATTTTCAACGAATCAATTTTCCCATATCAATCAGGATCTCACATCACTCAAGATACCTTAACACAAGATTTCATCCCTCCTCTCTTATCCCTACATCCACCCTTTCCAACACACCTATTCTAACCCACAAACAAACCATGCACACTCCTATCATGCACATTAATTCTATCTCAAATTCCTCCGTGACAACTCTTCCCGTCAATCACACTCACTCACTCCCATCTACTCCACCCCGCAACTCAATTCAGTCTCCGGTCACTTTGCCTGTTGCACATCGTTCGACTCACCCTATGCAGACCCGATTCAAAACGGGTAACCTTAAACCCAAAACTATCTTCAATCTTTTTCATCAACAACTCAAGTATGATCCCACCACCTACCCTGAAGCTGCAAAAGACAAACATTGGCGAGATGCCATGCCCCGGGAATTTGAAGCACTCCAATCTCAAGGTACCTGGGAGCTTGTTCCTCCGCAGCCCAATCAAAACATCCTTGGCTCCAAGTGGACCTTTCACACTAAATATCTATCCGACGGCACCGTCTCTCGTTATAAAGCCAGACTCGTAGCCCAGGGATTCAATCAAGAATACGGACTAGACTACACCAAAATGTTTAGTCCAGTCGCAAAAATCCCTACTGTACGGGTCCCCCACGTCGTCTCTCTTCATCGTCATTGGCCTATCCACTAGCTAGATGTATCTAATGCTTTTCTCCACGGCAACCTAAATCATACTGTCTACATGAAACAACGTACTGGATTCAAAGATACCATTCATCCCAACTACGTCTATCAACTCAAAAAGGCTCTCTACGGACTTAAATAATCCCCTCGTAAATGGTACTCTACGCTCTCGGGTTACTTACAATCACTCGAATTCTCTTTCAGCACCTCCGATCCCTCTCTTCTCATCTACAACAAAAACGGGGTCTCCATGTATTTCTTGGTTTACGTCGATGACATCCTCTTAACCGAAAATTGCACCAAATCTATTCATAATCTCCTTCAAAATCTCAAATCCAAATTCACTATCTGGGATCTTCGAACTCTCTCAATTCTTGGGACTTCAAACCATCCATACCTTATATGGATTACACCTAAATCAAACTCACTTTGCTCAAACGATTCTATCCCGAGCCGGAA